AAATGAATCCATTAAAAACATGACTGCTTCACAGTAAGATGGTCTTCAGCAAAAACAAACAACTGCTGTTTCCACTTCTCTTCATGGCCTTTAAAAACTACAGTCATCTGCTCCCTGTATTCCAGGCAATATATAAGTCTGGTCTTGATTTGTCAAGCTATTGGTTTAAATGTAGTTTTAACCCTCCTGCTCAGGGAATGGGGGAAAAAAAAAAGTTTTCTTACTTCATTACTTATTTAATGTCCCTTTGGGCCTTTCAAAGTCTGATCAAAACACCAATGGGTCACCTCAGACTTCAGCAGGTGTTTCTGCTGGGAATAATGTATCCACCCTGGTTTTCCATGGCCACAAGTGTGCAAAAGTCACTGTGTTTAAAGGGTGGTTCAATAAACAGAGGGAGACTTCCATGAGAGCACACTGCTCCTGAATGGCACCATGGCTTTGATCCCTGGCTCACCTGAAGAATGCAGGTGAGAGCATTAGTGTGCCCCAGGCAGGAGCTGCACTAGGAGCAGGTAACGTCAGCAGGACTCACAGGGATGGGACAGGAGGGAGAACAGGGACCAGGACGGGGGGACACACAGATCAGCCCAACCTGAATGCAAGATGCTATCAAAGTGTTACCAAAGCTGTTTCTGGCTCCATCACAGCTGATCCTCAAGGACTGCAGAGAGTTCTCCAGGCTCTGGACCAAACAATGCAGTAGCAACTTCTGCAGCTCTTTGATGGGTCCTGACTATTCAATGATTCCTTTTCATTTGTTCCCCTTCCTAACAGCCCACATGGTGACTCCCTGAAATGCTCCAAGATTAAACTCTGGTAAAAGCCTAAAGTTGTATCTGCACAAACTGCTTCCACCAGCCACTTTTGTGATGACATTTATAATGCAGTGCTTGCAACACTGCAATTTCATCATCTTATAAGTATCAATTTACCACTAAGAGAAGAGGGAAAGAACAGCAGACAAAGGCAAACTTACCCCGTTTCTGGTTTATTTTAATTGAACTAGTCCTGTTCAGCTAGGCCTATCTCTTACAAAAACAACAGTTTCTAGTTTAAACTGTGAAATTGTGTGTGTGTGTGTGTGTTGTAATTATGGTGCCTGCTAACAATTTCATACTGCCACACTGCACATATGGCTTCCAAGCTAGCTTTATCTGAATCTTTGTGAATCTATTCTCCATGCTATTAAACTGAGCACATTCCACATCGTTCAAAAGTAATTACACTTTTGTCTAGAGTGTAGGAGACTGCTCTCCCCAAACAATGAAATTCTCATTATGAGAGCTGGCACAGTAAAGGCACTGGTGTTCACAACACTGTGCATTGTATCATCACAATAACTTATCCTAAGCTTGATGCTCAAAGGTACACTGGAAATTAAAATTTCTCTAAAACCACTGTGAGGTTGTTTTATTTTTTTTTTAAATATGCATTCTTTAGCTCAGTATAATTAGAGTCCTATTTGACTTTTTAAAAAGCTATATGCATTCAGATTTCCATTCTCCTCGGAAGGTCTGAATAATAGCTGAGTGCTCCAGTGCTTGTTGTTCTGATCCACCACCATTCATATGCTGACAACTCCAGACCAACAGGTGAGGCACAGGCCAGGAGAGATGTGATAAGAGAATCCAAATGAAGCATTAAACAACCTTTTACTTGGAACAAGTGGAGGAAAAGCACAAAGCACCGTGCTGGTAAGCTTTTTGACCAGCAGTACTGCCATTCTCAATATTATTCCCAAGTTACACAGGAGTGACTTCATTCACCACAGAAACACAACTTTCAGTGTGAAGCAACAGAATTACTGAACAGTGTACCAGAATATTTCCTATAAATTTAAAGAATTATTGAAAATGAATTCTAAATCCCACTGAAAGTGCAGGACAGATGTGGGTTACCAGGACAGTCACAGCCATCAGTTTGGAACAACCAGGGAATGGCAGAATTATGGCTTACCACTTTCACCTCTTCTTCAGTACTTCTTTTATTTATTTTTTCTTTAATCCCATCCTGCATTTCACTGATATTCTATAGCTAAAAAGGATGGTCTGATTTAAACACACCATGCCTGTGGAAGACTTTAATCAGTACTTTCAGCCTTGACATTTCTCATTTTCCAGAATTCAGCACACAGACACCATTGGTGAGATCAGTGGTCTTGAGAGTTGCAAAAGCAGACAAATAGAACATAAAGGCAGGCAAATAGAAACAAGTAAAACAAACCTTTGTAACTCAGATGAGCTAACAACTATCTGTACTACCCAAATACTGTAGCCTTAATAGGTTTCTTCAGAAGAGCTATTGACTGATACTGTAATCCTCAAGTGTTTCCCTGCAAGGCTCATGGCAGGGAAAAATCTCAGATTTATTCCAGGTCAAACCATTTGTCTCTTATTTTCTACTGAGCAGTTGCTTTAAATCTGATAAATTATTGTTTCTTTTCTTATCAGGAGAAGAGTTTTCCTACTTGAAATAAGTATCCAGTTTCTTCTATCAAGAGAAAAGTTTGAGACAGAGTGATCCCTGCTTTGGTTGAGGCTGGTGGAGATGTCCAGAGGAGACCTGGCCCAAACCCCTGCTCAGGCAGGGCCACTGAGCTACACCTCCAACATCCTCAGAAATATCCTGTTCATTTTGATGGGCTGCACAGATTTTTGCCAATATTGAAGATGTCCTTATAGGAATTTTGCCCTCCTCTTATAAAAATCTACTCAGAATTTTGAGCTGTCTCACCAGGCTGTTAAAACTTGGTAAAGTGGTACAGGGTCAATTTCCAGGAGTATAAGTTGGGAGGTGTGAAGCTCCTGGAGCTTTATCAATAAAACTGTATCAGACTGCAGACTGTGGCGCTGTGTGCACACCTGCACACACCTGGATCTGCTTCCCAGAGAGGATAAAACGGCAGAATGTCAATTCCAAATGTACAAAAAAAGTCCTCTGCCATGTTAGAAAGTGAATGCCCTGTGAGAATGATTTTTGTCACTGCTAAGCACACGAACTGAAGTCATCCAAATGTTATCCAGTGATCTCCTTCTGATAACTACATACCACAACAGCAGAGGGAGGGATTATGGCTATTTTACCCATTTAGACTGATCGCTTCCTTCCTTCTGGAGACACACAGGCTGCATCCTTTCTGAACTACCTGAGTGATGATTTACAACACAGTCCTCACTGAAAGGGAGTTATTACCACAATGTTACATTCATACAGGCTAGCAGCATTCTTAAATATGTATGAAGACAAAACTAGACCCTTACAGCCCCCCAAACACTGCCTGAGGTAAGGCTGCAGTGTGTCACTGCTGCAGCATAACTATCTAAAACACCCCATGATTCAGCACCTTGTACTGTAAAAAGACAGAAAACACTGTTTTGACATCACATTACACACAACCTCCATAGCAGGAAGCTATACCAGATGATCAGCTAAACCTCTTGTTCTAAAAAACTATAGTGACCAAAGAAGCAAAGGGGTTAGTTAAACTCAGTTAAAGAGCAGTTAAATGTCCCAGTGAGGTGTAGCTGAAATACTCCTGCTGGCTCCTTAGAGAACAGTATGTTTTTATTTCTTCAGGGTCTGATTCTACATTTCTGGTGCCATCACAACTTTATCTATTGACTTAAATGCTGTCAGAAACAATTCCTTATCTTCAAAACACTCTCTTAAAAAAGGCCACAACATAGCAAAGCCCATACATTACATACCCTCACATCCCACTGGCTGGAACTGTTACATTAATGAATTTCATATCCATAAAACATAAGATAAAGGATGAGAAATAAACAAGCTCGAAAAAGATAATGACATTGTCTGCCCATGAGTAATTTCTCCAGTGATGTTCTTTTCTCCATGTAAAGTTGCAATAACACAAACTAAAATTATGTATTCCAAAGCACTGTCTGAGCCTAAGCATTAGCCCAAAAAAGGAAGGGAAATGGATCAGGATCAATGAGTTATTCTGTCTAGGAGAGCAGCTTCAGTGAATATCCAGTGACTTGGTCCTATGAGAAATAATAATCCCTAAGGCTTTTTACTTAGGCCTTGTTATATATGCATAATGAGCTGTAAGGGCTTAAATACCACTGTGGAGCTCTTGCGGGCTTTTATGAGAATACACTATCACCTATTTTGCAATGCCTTTTTAAAAGCCTTCAGATATGCAGGTCCACTTATTATCCTCCCTTCCAGTGAAATTACCAGCGCCCTAGTGGAGGTGGGGGACTGACAGAAAAGTTACAGCCCATTTGTAAATGGGCAAGAGCTGTGCAGGCTCTGTGCTTACAACAGAGCTTTGTGCAAGTGCCTGGGTGCTGGGGGCCTTTCCCTGCACCTCTCAACCTTTCTGAAAATGCATCAGTGCTCCATGTGCACAAACCCAGCACAGTGACACTACAATGCTAGCAAGAACAGGGCACTGTTTTGTCTTCTTTAAGACACAGCCAGTTCTGGGCTTCCCCTGGACTGCTGCCTGCCATGAATTGAGTGCTCAGAGTCAGCTGTAGAGTGGGAACTCACAAGCCAAAAAGCAGTGAGTTGATTTAATTTCACAAGCATGGTAAATTTTATTGTGGGTATCTGTGACGTGAATCACACATCAGATGTAAGTTTTTAAGTCATCAGAATTCAGTTTCTTTTTTCTTTTGCCTTTATACAGTCTTTCAAGCTTTACTGTTGCACAAACTTGGCACCAGGGTGATGTTTCAGACTCCATGCCAAACGTGACTCTCACTTCCAGTGCTCCAAACCCGTTTGCTGAACACACACACTTCCAACTCACACCAGTGCAGCTAACACACTTTCAGCACCCCACATGCCACCAGGCAAAGGGGAGGAAAAGCCTGCACTGAGAGGGGGCAGAGCTGCCCAGGATGAGGTGTGCCCTGTCCGTGGGGCTGAGCCCTGCACACCCCACCAAGGGCAGCTCTGGGTGCCAAGCTGCTGCAGAGGCAGAGCTCAGAGAAGGGATAGAGCACAATAGAGCAAAGCAAACCTACCATTGTGTTGTGCTGGGAAGTGGGAGTCCTATGGCCACAGTTCTCCTGCGTCAGCAGAGAAACTGGCTGAAATTCCTCAGAGTGAGGCTTGTTGGGAAAACTCACATGCAAGGGAAGGTGAAAGGCTGGGAGCCCGTCACTCTCCTCTTCTCCCACTTTCTGTCTGCTTGTCACCATGGCTACCTCTCCATCTGCTTCCCCATACGGAGAGGCTGGTCGCTTGGAAGACATCCTGGAAGGAACAAAAGAGGAGAAAATAATGAAACCTCCAAATAAATCCTTAATGCCGTCATTGTGTGGTTAGGGGCCATTGTAACAGAAATGCCTTTTTTGTGTTGGCAGAGAGCAGGAAACCATCCAAATACCACTGCAAAGCACACACAATTGGGAACAATGGCCAAGCAGGTAGCAACAGAACAGTGCCTTGTTTGTTGTGAGAATAATACACTAATATAGCACTCCCTTGTATTCTGGCTTCTTAAACATGAAAATTCACCTAAGACTGCATAATGAAATGCAATTCCTTTTAAAAAAATACCCATCTAGCTTTGCATTTGCAAGGGACTCTATGAAGATAGAATGTCTCCCGATACAAGCCATTGTCAACCTAGCTTTTAAGGAATAATCATCTGCATCTCATTATCGACAACTGATAAAAAAAACCAAAGTTAAATAAAATACAATACAATAAAAGAACTTGCTAGCGGGCCAAAACGTCTGTGTTTACAAAATTTCACACATGTGAGCAACTGAGGACTACAGTCCTGTTGCAAGGATCTTTCCAGGTCTCCAGATCTGGAATACTTAAGCAATTAAACATTTGGACATTAATAATCTAAGCTTTTTGACAACATGAAGTCAGGGGCTTTGAAAGAAGGTCAGGATTGAATGAAGATCCGCTATCAACTCTTTCTAGCTATATATCAAATTATTCCTTTCTATAGCTAGATCAGAATAAAAACCCTCATGAAAATGTAATTTATATCTGTACCTACATAAAAAAGGACACACAAGGAAGATACCTAGAGCACACATTGGAAAAACCACACAGAAATATTGACTTGAAAATCAGGCCTACATTGTGAAGTTTTTGCTAATGTCTGATAGGACATATTTATCTTCAACTTTTAGAAACACTGAAAGAAACCTAAATCATGGGCAAATTCAAATATCATTCAAGACAAACACAACTGAAAATCTTACAGAACACAGAATGCTTCCAGTTTGGTCTCCAAAATAGCAGGGGCTACAATGAAGTCTTAAAATGCAGACAAAATCTGGGATTAATTACAGCAACCTTGTTCATAAAAATCAGGGTATGTCCATGGATGGCCCCTGTGCTAACCAGGGGCATCTGCAAGGAGCAGAATGAGGAGAAATCCTCCAGGCACAGCCAAAACAAGAAATTAAAAACAGGGAAATGTTTCATGGGAAAAAAAAAATAAATAAAGTTATAAATGAGGAAACTGAAGACTATTTGAATGCAAAAGTTAAAAAAAGGGGCTGAAGTAATATTGCTCCTCCTGAAAAATGTCGTATTGATGATTCTCATGACTCCATTTTTTATTCTGCACTCCACAGTTAAAGGGCTGCACTGGAAGAGCCCAGCAGCCTCCTGAGCCATGTGTGGGGCTGCTCTGAGGTGGAGCCTGTCCACAGGGTTTGGCATATTGAGCACGGAATGGTTCTCAGCAGCAGTCAACTGGGTCTGAAAACAAACAGCGACTTTAAACAGCCCTTTGTTAAGACTTATTTTGCTTCTAATGATCTCATTTTGAGCCTTGCCTCCTGAGCCAAGTTAGATTATATTAAGGAAAAAAAAAAAAAGGGAAAAAACCCAGAAAAACCAACAACAAAAACTCAGACAAAAAAACTCCCTACCAGAACCTACATGCAGCTGCACATTGCCCGTTCTGAACACCACCTATTGCCAGCGCTCAGAGAACCAATCTGTATTTTCTATTAATGTCTGCCTTAGTCCAACAGACTAACACTTCATACATCCTACCTGAATTCTGTCTTCTAGGCTTTCCCACCTACGTGTCTGCAGCAAAGCATATGCACAAAGACAGAGATCACCAGATAGACTCTTACTGGCAGTTTGTTACTAGCCCACTGAATTCAGCATTTTACAGCTATGTTTGATGTGACAGATCTCAAACCCTTCTGCAGAAACCACACAGCTCCCTTCTAAAGTTAATGTGAATTATTCATATTTTGCATTGTACTGCACTGAGATCGACATTTGCTACGGAATTTAAGTTTTTTGGTTACTCATTTTAACAGTACTTTAATAGAAGCCTGAGAATTTACAAAATCTCTCTGAAAATCAGCACTAAGCAGTTGTCTCAATTTTGGCAAACAAAAAGGGACGGACACAAGATCATTACTCAATTATTCCACAGTAATTTTCTATACTTTAGAACAGTTATATTTGATAAAATGACTGAAAATATTGTAAGCCATGCACAAAAGTCCCCACTGCAATTCACTCTGACAATAAATTACAAAGAGAGAGGATGCCTTGCTTTGTATTGATGATTTGGATTATACATTATATACTCAAACTGTGTCAAGAACTCCTACTGCTGTTAACCTAGAATAACACAGATTCTGTCACATTGCTTCACAAGGAAAGTTTGAATATCACGCTGAAATAAAGCTCTTCTGTTAACTTTGGATGTGAATATAGAGTTTCAGATCATCTTCCTCTGCTTCCCAACTGTTCCCAACAGGGATGAAATAATTTTCTGCAGGGAATTTATATAAACAGACAAGGAAGATAATAGAGGTGTCCACCTCCACGCACTTGCAATAACAGAGATTATTTTGCTTTTGATCTAAAATAAAAACCTACAGGTTGGATTGTAGACCAAACTAAAGTGAAAGCAGAAAAGGCAGAAGAAACTTTTCCTTTTTTCTCTAAAACACCCAGTTTAAATTACAAGCCACAAACCCATCACCATCCTAGAAGACTAACAAATCACTAAAATGGCTAAGGCAGAAAAGCTGAGCTTTAATCTGTGTTAATCTTCCAAGAACACCCAAAGAAATGGACACACAAAACTGGACAGCTCAGCCATCAAATGCAATTTTGTGTTCAGGCAGCTCTGTCCACAGACAGCCTGAGTCAGACAAAATCAGTTTCACAGAAATTTCTTACTCCTTATGAACAACAAGAAATTTCCACAAGAAAATGGAATATTTAAATAAATAAATTAATAGATCCACATCTACTTTTGGAAATGTCTTCCTAAAGGATAATATCTATCAAAGTCTGTAGCTGCAAAGGATCAAATCTCTGAGTGGTTCCCAAGTAGAAAACGTGAAACAAGAAAAAGTCAACTACAAATTACAGCTTGATTGGTTCATTTCCCAAATTTGATATGCCCCCACATCATGCATCCCCTAATATTCTTCTTTTCATAGATCTGGTTTATCCTACTAAGCTAATACCAGGTCTTAACAGATTCCAGGTCTAAGATGCAAGCAGAGTTCCCACCACAAACAATAGGGAAAGGGAAACAGCTAAATTCTGAGCAGCAACATTACCTGAAACTGAGCCCTTTTAACCAGATCTAGACCTAATGAAGTACTGGAATTATCCCATCCTAACAAAGGACTGCAAACATCCTGGATCTGCCCTCAGTGATAACAGTTCACAGCTCACAGAACTTCAAGATCTTTTCCTCAAATTTAAACTGGGAATCGTTTTCAATTACATCACTCTGAAAGAAGATTTAAAATGGAACAGGAAACACCAATTTATGGATAGGATTAAAAAAAGCACCCCAAACCCCTAAGATATAACCCAGAAAGGTACAAAAGTAATACAGCACACCAGATTCCAAATGTAAAAGGTGTCACTGCAGATGAAATCTGTTGCAACTTCATTGTTTCAAGAAGAATTGCATTTTGAAATATCATTAATCACTTCTACTGAATAAAAACAGGTAGGTGGCAATTTTTTAGGAAACCTAAATCTGCAAAGTTCTGATGCACAGGGACACAGCCTGTACCCAGGCCATTCCACAGACATAATGGAATTATGAAATGCATCTCCATGTATGAATTTATCAGTGGTTCACCAGGAACTGAAGATTCAGTTCTGATGATTAATTCAAATTTGATACTGTTTCCTTGTAAAGAGACCTGTTTCCAGAAAGGCTTCTTAATATGCAGACACCACAGGTAAAAAACCCAAACATGCTTTTTGTTCAATTCTCATTAAATAAATGCTTTTCCTGGTAGGAAGAATGTTTTTTTCAGGGAAGTAAAAACCTCATTGTTCTAACTCACTCTTATCCAACAAATATTTTATGTGATTCATATTACAACAGTTTCTCCAAATATTTCTTTATGCCCTTCAGTTTGTAACAGACTCTTTGTAGGCTTAAATTGACACCCTGTGTCTATTGATCTCAGAATTTTCTGCATTGACTTCAGCTTGGCTGGATTTTCCCACTGGAGCAAGTAAGAGCTACATATCCACATGAATTGTTTCCTACACTTATTGGTTCCATCCAAATAATTTCAGGCTGGTAAATATGACTATTTTTCTTGCTTGCTTTTTCCCTTGGATTCAGTGTCTCACAGAAGTGATCTTTCCATAGCTATATTTTCTTTATTATTATTATTTTTAAGAGAACCTCACTTAAGTGTCCCCCACTACATCTCCATTTGTTCATTGGTTTCGGTTCATTTCATCCATGATTGTACTCCCCAAATAAACCTGAAGTGGTGTTCAGTACTCAAGGAGATAGTGCCCTCTAGCACACAACCTGCATCCTTTCCAATTGGATTGTTCGTGCCATAAAATTTAATAAATTTTGTGTCATAAAACTCTAATCTTGTTACATTAAGCAAAATACCTCAGAAACATTTCAGATACCTACAAAAGCTTTTGGAGAAGGGGCTTATCCATGTCTTCAAAAGTGTCAAACACAGATGTGTCAGGAGGAAAAGATATGAGGCCATAAATCTTAACTTGTTGGGAGTTAATTAAGGGATTCATCAATCATTGCACAGCTCACCCCATACACACAGGCAAAATCCCGTCACAGCAATCACACAGCCCACAGCAATCTACAGGTTAAAAACTCCCCAAGCCCCTCTGTTCTGACTATTTATAAATGACTTGCTATAATCTAGCATTAAGACCTGTAATTATAAACCAGCATTAAAACAGGCCTGCAAAGTTATGGATAATTATAGCTGGTACACTTTTTAAA